AGACAGCAGATCATCCCTTAAGTTCTTTTGGTCTTTTCCCAGAAGAGTTAAAACTATCTCTGTGACAAATTGGTGCAGGGACCACTTTGTAAGGACCACACATTCCTGTCTAGACAAGCTGTCTACAAGGATATTCCTGTTGCCCTGAATATGACAAACTCTTAACAGTGTTCTCCAAGAAGACTGCCCATCAGAGAATGTTTCAGACTTCTACTCAAAGAGCATGTGTACCTCCTTGATGCCAGAGTTACACTAATACTGACTTGCTGTCAAAAACATTTTATAATGCATTGGTGCCTTATGAAGGGCTAGAAACACTAAAATTCTAGATTATTTATATGAAGGGTCACCTCCTTCTGAGATCAAAGTTCTTGAAGGACTACACCTTCTGGCTCCAGGTACACAACCCATCCCAAATATAAGGTATCTGTGTAAAGGAATGGGGCATAAATTGAAACTCCATTTAGAAACAAGTCACAGTCAATCCATCAACTCAGGTTGTGACAAAAAATGGATCCCCAGTGGAGTCAATGGTGATAATGGGTCACTGTGTAGTCTCCAGTTTTCTAGGAGCGAGAACTGGAGAGAGGAAAAGTAAAGACTTCCATTGGAAACTAAATCTGCATCCATGTTCAAAATTCCCATGAGAGAGACATACATATGGGCTGATAATGAAGTCTGGAACAAGACCAACTAAAGAGTGCCAGAATCAGCATGATCCTCCATTGTTTGGTGAAAAAATTCATCACCACAAAGTTCTGAGAAGTGATGAGATAGACCAAAACAATGCAGCATCGACCAAACAGAAAGGTCCTTCCAATGAGAATCTCTGAAGACAATGTGCATCAGCCAGATGATGAGATAATGGAGCATGGGAACCCCTGAATATCTCAAGTGTGTTACTATTACCCCCATCACTATGGTAAAAGTTCTAGGGGTAGAGGTAAGGCAGAACAGGAGAGCTTGGAGCTGAAAGACCTTCAAGCCAAGACAAATGTGGATGCATTTCTTGTGAGGCAGGGAAAATGGGACCATGAAGTTCCTGGAGAAGTATGGAGATTGACCAGTTGTTATGGACACCAAAACTATCCAGGCATAGAAATGTGGGTTTTGGTCATATTTTCACTTTTTGTAACTGGTGTATTATTCTTCCCTTAGATGATTATGTCTGGACATGAAAAGGAATGGGGTCTGAGAGTGGCTAAAACAATGTCTGTAACCCTCCCTTAAAGTAGAATGGACCCACATATTGTCTGTGATGCCCAGCCAAATCTCTGTAAAGAGGGCCAGTCATTGGCACATGGAGGAGGATAGGGCTGCCTGAGTGCAACTCTCTACAGTAGATAACTTCCTTCCTAAAACTTTCTACCCTGGTCTCTGTGACTGCCTTGCCTGGCAAATGACAGGCAGGAGTAGTTTTGATCTAAACCTGCTAGTGAGTTTATTGAGGCTGAATCTGCTAGAATATTTTGAAGAAGGTACCATAAGACACTCAGGGTGACTATCCTTGTTTGCAAATTTCACTGGGCCTGGAATCATGGCCAGGGACCCATGTTGCTGGTCCCACAAATCCTGATATGCCCTGGAGGGGATTGGACCACTGAAGAGTGCCTTTGGCTCTTGATGTACAGCTCTCAAGAGGTTCTTGTTCTGGTCAAGGCTGCATCTCTGAAAGAGCACTGTAGAAAGCACCACTGACATAGTGCATGTCTGGATATATTAACCATAGCATCCAGCAAGCACTGAAGCACAGCTGGAGACAATTCCTGCTAAACAAGACTGAAAGAGGATGGCTATAAGATGCTATTAGTATTAGTGTACAAATCATTTTAAACTTCAAAGCTTTGACCAGGAACAAATCTATGTTGCAGCTGAGATACCCACTTTTGACACATCCCAAATCCAAAGGGGGAAGGTCTGAGTGGCTAAGCCTAGGTAGTTGTCTGATAAATGGAGGTTGAAACCAATGGCTGAATCAATGAAGGAGTAACTGACCACTGCTTCTTCTGCCTGGCAGGCTCTTGGTTCTGGGCAAAATTGTGTTCAAGCTTCAAAACCAATGCTGAGTGCATGATTGGCAGAATATCTGAACCTTTGTCAGCTCAAGATTGCCTCTCCAAACTGGACTGAAGATAATCATAATGTCCTCTGGCCCTTAAAGCATTGGACACTGCCGTTCTCTGTTAAGCCAATGATGCCATGATTGTTGAATGTTTTTAAAGATATAATTTGATATTTTCAATGATGATGGTTGGATAAATTAGGTCTTGCATCCTTATTTTGTTGCAGATGTGGATATGCCATGTGCTATGACTTTGTAAATTTCCACTACATACACTAATTTAGGTTAATTATACATAGCAGAGTTTCATAGTACTAATTAACATAGTCTCAGGAACGATACACTTTAAAGTCAAACCATTAAATTCAGACTGTTAAGATAATAAAATCAAGAAGAGATTATCTTTTTCCTACTACTGACCTCAACCTTTGAGTTAGGTATTTGATTATTGTATGTTAGAGTATGGTCCCAGATATTCCTGGGTTTACCTTCATCCAAATCTCTGCCTGGATTGCAAGTGATAGCCTGAATAAAGGAGGCTACAATCTTATATTATTCTTTGTTGTGACATTAACCATAAGCAAGGGGTATGACTGCAAATACATGAGATGATATTAAGTCAAGATTATCATTACAGCTAAAGTGCCATTAATATGTCTTTTTGGGTTTAAAATTCTGTCCATAAATGGCAACTTAAAATTTTTTCTTGCTGTTGCCTGACCTTGAGGCAGATAACAGCAATGGTATATGAAACACCATGGGTGGGTGGGTTGGTTTTAATCACACAGTATAATTTTTGTGATACAGTACCAATTAAATGTTAAGTTCCAAATGTGTAAAGATACAGAATTACAAAAAATATTTTAGGAAGAAAAACCCTTCCAAAAAAACTTCTACATGTATTACAATATGGAAGTTAAAAGATTTTAAACAGTACATAAAAAAGCTGTAAATAATATTAAATCCCTAAATATTGGGTGAAAATATCTTATAAAAACAACATTCCTTTAAAACCTCAAACATTTTCTGTGGTGGTACATTATCATATAACCAGTAAGGAATGTTGTTATTGTTTTGGCTTTAAAAACCATTTCTCAGCACAAGATAGGCAGACTACATCCTTCAGGCCTCTTCTGGGACTGAGAAAGGCCTGGGCCACATTGAGAGTTTGAAAGCTTTAGATAATGAGAGTATTTAAGAGATCTAAAAATAAATGGTAACAATCAAGGCCCCTTAGGGGTTGTGGCACATGTCAGATGCCATCAACCATCCCATTGAGCCTGCATTCCTCTAGCTAGATATCTTTCAAATTATGGAATGGAAGAGAAAGCGTGATGAAAATATTGAACCATGACTTTAAGCTTGAAGTTAGAATTCCCAGTGTGGTACACAACACATCTTCTAGTGATGATCTAAAAGTACACATGTACCAAGTTTCATCCCTTAATCACATGGTTTTAATGTATATAGCAGAAGGAAAAGATAATGAGAAAACTTTAAATATAGAGCCATAACACAGACCTTGAAGATAGTATCTCATTGTGGTATCCAACACGCCTTCCAGTGATGATGTTCAAGTATACCAATTTTCATTCTGAACTCTCACATCTTGAAGGGGCTACAAGTTATGGAGTGGATGGTAAAGGGGACATAACATATTGGGCCTTTGCCTTGGCATTGATGATAGGACCCATAATGTAGTGTATGGCACAACTTTTTAAGATAATGCATACATACATCACATTTACTCTAATCATTTCAATTAACATTTGACTTTGTTTTATTAAAATATATATTTTTTTACATCTAAATTAATTATTTAAAAATGCTATTGGTAGAAAAAGTACTGCATTGACAAAGTATTATGAATCACTTGAAATTTATTCATAGTAAGTGTTGTGCTTTGGTAAAAAAAATGACAGTATCATGCATACATGCATTTAAACTATAACTGTAAAAATAATAAGCATCAAGATAGACTTCTTATGTAAAGATAAGATCTCCAACACCATTAATGTCTGAACTAAAAAAATCATTTTATTATTAATGAAGATGGTAGAAAACAAATTTATTTAGCCTGTTTTAAAGAGGCAGAGTTGAACAGCAATATGATTTATTATTTAAGATGCAGTTATTGCTTTAGAATATCCACAACTAAACTCCCTCAAAGGTACTTTCTTCTGTCTGAAAATAAGACCATTTCTTCATTTTAACTGCTAGTTGTTGAAACCAATTCTGATATTCCTCAGGTATAAAGCAATAACAGAATCTAAGTGTTTTAGCCAAGAAGTGCTCTTGTGGAATTACAATGTCATGCAAAATAAAATAAGATTTAATGTGCCAAACGTAGTGCAAAACATGATCAATTTGTGTTTTTTTAACCTTTATGATACAGATGTACTAACCAATATTAATATGTCCCAACTACTAAATGATTAAATGAAAATGAACAAAATTCATCAAGGAGTCTATTAGGTCAAATAGAACAATACTTCCAACAAAGAACCGGTTTCCACTGTGGCAGAACAAGAAAAGAAACAACTATCACACCTTCAAGAATTTGCTTAAGAGCAAAAAGATTGATATGATGTTAAAGTGGCATACAATTGTAACTCTTGAGTTCTCCAACATCTTTCTCTGGTGAAAACTCCAAATCAATATGTCTTTCTATTTAGGATGTGATGTGATGTGATTATGATTTTTAACATAGCTTTAACAATTTTTCAGTCATATTGCTACGATGTCTGCAGTGTGGCAGTTTATAGTGATGTCTATCACTGGGGCATCATGCCACAAACATGTAGCATGATGACCCACCCAGTCACATTATCCTGACACCAGGCTGACCAGTCTTAACTCTAACCTCTTAATGCTGACACTTAAGAGTGTCTTAAGAGTGTCAGGCAACTCTTAGTATCATTTTTGTAAGTTTTTGGTATGACTCTACTGGGGATTGATCCCACAACCTCACGAATCTGAGGCGGACACTCTAACCACTAGGCCACCAGAGCGGTTTTCTATTTAGGAGAAGTAGCAATAACAAGATTTTTGAAAGGGTTGCCACGATGGTCATATTGGATATAAAATCTACACTATTTTCATTTTAGACCATCAAAACATCATTACAAAGTTTTCTGGTGAAAACCCCATGTCAATATGACCATCAGTCCAGGGAAAGCAGTAATGAAAAAAATGAATGCCATCGGAGCCAGATTGGAGGTCAAATTGGAAGCATTTTCATTTAAGTCTAACCAGACATCATACAAAACCTTCTAGTTAAACCCCAATATCAACAGTAACCATCTATTGAGATTGCTTTAACAAGATTTTCAAGATGGCCACTGTGGAAGCCATTCTGGATGTCAAAGCAGTATTATTTCATTTCAGACCAAGGTGACCTTCCGAAGAATGCGAGTGAAAATTTTCATGGCATTCATCAAAGTAGTTTAGAAAGAGTATTTATAACAAACTTGTGCAAATATGTCATCCTGTAATTTTTACTGGTCTATGATGATCAAAACTAAATACTGGTATTTTACAAAAAAACCTAATTCATAGTAACAGTACAAAAATATGCTGAAAGTAAACTTGCATGACTTAATTTCACAAGAAAGTAACAAACGGAAGGTTTTGAAAAGCAGTTTTATTCTGAAGGAAAAAGAGTATATAATTGCATAAACACAAATCTATACTCCATATACTATATTTTAAATTGCAGACTGGTACAAAGTCTTATGGAACACATTTAAAATTTGAGTATTACATATATTCTCAAAACTGAAAAACACAAAAATATGTTTGATTCCTTTGCCCAAATGAAAGATATGTTGCTTGGACTTGTTACTCATATGCAACGAACACAACACAGAATTTTAAGAAATTACATAAATAGCTCAGGTTTATTTGATAAGAGTAAATATCTTACATTTTAACATGATCAGGCCAGTTCTGGTTGGTTGAACCTGTGTGCTGTTATCATGACAGCTATTTGAATACCATGTACAGACTGCGTAAAGATTTATCACTCTTAAAAACTTTTTTATTAGCAATTTTGTAAATTGTTGTTTTTTTTTATTTTGTGAGTGATGGATCATAAAGAATAATGATCATGTAATTTGCTTAATAAAGCAATCAGCTAATTTTTTTTTAAACTTATGTCTCAAATTCTTCCCTACTGACTTGACAAACATTTTAACTTGATAAATGATATTATAACAAAACAGAGATGTATTATTCAAGTTTCACAACATGGCATTAAGCTTGTAAAGAACAAAATTTGGCACCTTTACATTAAACTTACATAAAATGAGACTTTTCAATTTCTGAATTATCAAAGTCTATTATTTTAGGAAAAGAGTACATGTAATTTATCTGTAATCTACCTTGCAGATTACTTAGTAAGTTTCTATCACATATCAAACATTAGTTGCAGTTTGCAACATCATTTGTTTACTAGAAATATTTTCTGGGTACAAATAAAAAGAATATATACATGTATAGAAATAATAACATGTCAACACAATATTGATGATACAGTAGTGATTAAAAGTTTTAAAAATGTAAAGATTAAAAAACTGCATACAAGATTATACACAAGAAGTCCTATTAGATAAAAAATACATGAAGATATCCAATTTTTTTAAAGAGCATATATAAAGAAAAGATAAAAGGTACATTATATAAAAATTTTAAAATATAACATCAAAATGTGTTCAATAAAGTGCATATTTTTTTTTCAAATCTCAGATTTTCTCATCAAAAAAATTGTTTCTGGTAAAATTCAATACCTGAATTTGTTCTATTGTCATTGGCCACTAGCCACTCTGGTCAAGGTTCACCCATCAAAAAAGGTGTCCATCATTTCATTCATACAATTTATAGCCTGATTGCTGCCAAGAGGTCTCTCACACCTGAATTATATTGGCATTTCAATACAAAGGGATGCTCCTAATGTAAACAAGCAAATAGACTGCTTGTTATCCATTTCCAGTTTCTAGAATAGTCTATGTCAGTAAAAACTGTGTCATCTGTATCCAATATTCACCATTTCAAGTTTTAATATTTCTTAAATAAACTGAATAAATACAATGAAGAAACTCTTGTATGCTTGTGTTAAAAGTGATGTAAATCCAAATTTTATGGAATTAATGCGATTTTTCAAAAATTTGTGAACTACATCACATCTGTTGCTTGAAAACAAACTGGCCCAAGCAAATAAGGTAACCATGTTGCTAATGAAACTTCGTTTTCATTTGAAACATCAACTAGTTGACAGTGTTTGGACCTCCCCTGGCAACAATCAGGTTAGAACATAAATCAATGAATGAAATGACTCAGTTTTGTGCATTTCTTATATCTTTGATGCCTTTTGTTTTTAAAATCAGTAGGTGGGGTACAAACAAATGGGATTCTGAAAATACTTACGGCAGCCAACTGTACATTTTCAAAATTTTGTGAACAAATGTTTCTCTAAGACCTGGATATGAACAGGTTATCAAATGCAAGTTTTGAAAGACTTTCAGTTTGGAAAGAAATCTGAAAAGATGGTGCAGTTTGTTTTGAGCCTCTGACGCAGCCAGCAATTCATCAGATATCAAAACTGAAGAAAATAGACATTAGCAGCTGCCACTTGCCTTGCCTTTCCTGACACCAACTGCCACCTGCCTTGCCTTGCTGGAACTTACATATGGACATTTGTTCATAAAGGAACACCCCTTAAGTTAACTTACATATTTCACCTATGCATACAGTACACTTGCCCACAAAAAAACAAAATATTGTGTTCCCTGTTGTATCCTTTATAGACCGGTTTCAATGTACACTCAAACGTGCCTTAAAGGTTAGCTGTATCAAGCAATCACTTGCAAACAGTTTTTCAAAGTCCCATAGCACAATCTTGAAAGAATAACTGAATGTATCATATACACTGGTGAGTGGGTGGGGAAAATATATTATTATTTGTGGACAGCAATGAGGTTTTACTTATAAGAACCTAAAATAGAGAAGGTTTTGTCCACATGTAGTCATCTGAAAAATTGCTATGTCTTCAATTTTCAAAAAATAAATTCAGTACAACACAGGTCTGGAGATCTTAAAATCATTCAGACTGATATTGATCTTTAGATTTTGTCAGTCAATATCAAACAACTTTACTTCTGTAACATTACTTTTCATTGGCTGTTAACTGATTCAAAAGTTCTGAGTAATATGATTCCAAGTCTGGTTCAGCACTTAACCAAGCACATGTAACAGAATCATTGCAAATCATAACATTTCAGAGTCACTAAATCTTTGTGAATTCCTGAAATTCATCACTGTTGTGACTTAATTCACATACTGCATAATTATTTTGCTGCTTTAGTAATTTATTTTTGAAATTTAACTGTCTAGATAGACTCCTAAAAACTGTATGCCAATATTTATTTTCTAATATACTGTACTGTAACAAATAAAGAGCATCATTTCTAATCTTACATGTCTTGACACTACCAATAAAACATGGACAAAGATTTTCTGGCACAAAATAACTGGTATTTCTGATTTAGATCTAACACCTGGAACATACGGTGCAAGCTAATCACTTTTATACATATCTTTTGTGAAATAATTAATATAACTACATGATAGGCAGTTCAATAAACAAAATGTATGATATATTTATAAAAATATATCAAAATCTAAGATAACATTACTCTATACCATCAGTCACAAGCTGACTATATGAGAAGTCAATATGGACTTCAAGTATGTACAATTTGAAATTATCAGCTATTCAATATAAAACAAAGTTCTCAAAATATGGTTAATCTAATTATAAAGTCTATATGTTGATAGTTCCTAACAAAGTTCTCAAAATATGGTCAATCTAATTATAAGTCTATATGTTGACGGTTCCCGCAATGAGCTTAACTTTATGACCATTATAAATTAAGGTTTTTAACCACAGATTCCATTGCAATTATTTTTTCTTTGTGAAATTATAAGAAATTATCTAAATTTTCCTTCTATCAATGGGTTATCCCTCCCTTGAAGAGTATAGTAAATACAATTGGTTTATGTCCTCCTTTTTTGTCCTGTGAAACTGTATTACATGTTTCACCAATTGTCCAGAAAGTCCAAGCCTGTTTTTGTTAGTGTGGAACTCTGAAAATAAAAGGATATAGATACTGTCAGTACATACATGTCTTTATAATCATGTGGTAGTGCTCTTGCTTTGCACTTCATTTGTGTGAGATTCAATCCAGCTTATCTAAGGCTGGAGGTTTCTTCACATTTTCGATTTTCTCTTCACACCTACAGATTACCTTTTATCTTATATCTTAGCCACCAAAAATTAATTGAAGTTCTATATTTAACTTGAAAAAATGGTGAGTAACTTCTAATTTTAACTCAAGTACATTTACTAACCTATTTTTCACAATACATGTATTATCACATTTTAACCAATCACAATCCATGTTCTGATCAATGATCATTTAACCATTGTTTATAGCGCCCCGAGTGGCAGAGTGGTTTAAATCGATGACCGTTACAGATCACTGCCATCTCACCCCTGTCTACATGAGTTTGAGTCAAGACTCAGTTAACATGGGTAAATAAGAAAGCCTGCCAGTAGCTTCTCATGGGTTGGCGGTTCTTCCCGAGGTTTTCCAGGGTTCTTCCTCCACCATTATTACTGGCCGCCATGTATAGCCTATCTTGTGCTGAAAAATGGTGTTAAACCCAACAACAACAACAACAACAACCTTTGTTTATGCATCTGTATTATACCATAAACTATTTGAGAATTAAAGTGGTGGAGAAAGGCTGGATGGCACCTAATTTAATTAAAAATGAGCAGTAACTAATTGAGATTGTTCTTGGTATTTTTTGTTGACCATTAAGATAGTGAGAAAAATTGTAACGCAACATATCTACCTGCTTCAATAGTCTGGGGATCATGGTCACAGCTATATAAGATTTGTGTCAATGTTTTGGTTCAAGTTTTTCTATTTGCTGATTTTTCCTCAAC